CCAGCCAGTCAGCTAACCAGCCAACATTCGTGCTACCCAACTCTAGTCGGGCAAAGGCAAGTAGAAAAAGAAGAAGCAGACCGAGCGAACGAACAAACGAACGACACCAAACATGAGAATAAAGCAAAAGTAATTCACAGTGGCAATATTCCGCCCACCAACATAACAATCCAAACTGCTTGATGCCCGTAGAGCACATCCTGCTGCCGTCTCACCCCACGTCTAGGGTTTTTTTCGCCATAAGCTCATCACTGTTTACTAACAAAGGAAAAAAGAACTATTTGAGTAGAGGAAAAAACTCTTGCCTGCTTTTCATTTAGTTATAATTTTTGTTGATGATGATGATGATGTTGGCCTGGCTGAAAGAGCCATATAGGTACCAGCAGTTCGAGGAGCGGGGTCTGGCTGGGGTTTTGGGTGGGAGAATCCATTGCAATCGACATTTTTGCAGTCCGACCGTTGTCTGTGTAATATTTAAACTTGTTTAACATGTCTTTTTCTGCACCGTCTTTTGTTGTGTTTAACTAACTAAAGCGTAAAGCAAACACAAAAAATGGTCGTTATGCATTCGTTTCCGCTGTTTAACTTGGCGCGCGATTGCTGCACGGTAGCAACGCCAGGAGGTAGGAGGGTCATTCTTGATTGTGTGTGTGTGTGTGTTTTTTTATTTTTTGTTCAATTGTGTTTTATTCGATCGTAATTGAGGGACCACTAAGAATGCGATTTGTAGGCGTTTCTTTCGGTTTGACAATTTTACTGGCGGATACATATATACAATTTGTTTGTATTTTATGGAGTTGAACCTTTAACATTAATAGTGCAACATTAAATAAGAAGAATACGGAGCCATTAACACTGGTTTTGTAACAACTTAAGTATCGCTTAATCTATATTTAAAATAAAAATCAAATAAACTACAAATGGTGGATTGATATCTGTCCTTGCATTTAATTTGTTGATCCTTTAGGAATGAATCGGCCGCTCTTTTCCTTTGCACAAGGTTATGCCTAATGCAGCTCTCGGTTTCACCTTGATTTGCCTTATCAAACTGCATCTTCCACATTCATTTGTGTGTGTCCTTTACATTCTGTCTTGCTACTGTCACATCATGCATGAAAGCAAACATAAGAACGAATGCTTTTCAATTGTTTCAAGCCATTCTCATTCCATCCTAGGTAATTTCAATGTTTAGTTTTGATTTGTTCCATTTTTGCGTGTTTGGAAATGTTTGGCTTTCTTTTGCAAAGCAAAAGGCAAGGAGGGAACAAATGCAACACATGTCAGGCCAACAAAAGGACCACATAGCAGCGAATGACTGACGACTGAGGGTCGACGACAGACAGTCACATCCTTAATGTTTCAGTTTGGTGTTGTTTTGTACACTTGTGATAAGAAGAGGGGGGGGGGGGGGGGGGGGGGAGGGGACATTCTATTTCCATTATCTGATATGAAAATGAGCATGGGACAAAGAACGAATTCCGTGTATCGCCATTTGTGGTTCATTAGATACGATGTGCCCGTCACCATTGTCAATTCACGCTTGATTGACAACACCACAAATGGGAAATTGTTTAGATATTGAAAGGTGTTGCTTGGAAATCGGAGAATCGTTTGGAAAATACTTTGGCTGTGTTTGTGAAGGTAATGGTTTTTTCTTGTATCATTCCCTTTTTTCTCCGCCCTACTCCTTGATAAAGAATTTTGGTTTTCGTTGGTTTTTAAAGAAAACAGCAGCACAGGAGTAGTTCTTATTATGTATATATTCTTGATCAGCGTAAAATTCTACTTCAGCCTATGAGGTGGCCGGACGTTGGTTGAGAGTTAATATTGAGATTGGGACAACTTTGCCAATAGTTTTGATGGGACCTGTGTTTTAATAATTAATTCATTTTTCTGGGGCCAGATGAACAAACTCCAATTTCATAATAAAATAAACCATTACGTTATTTTGTCTTTCATTTACACAAGGGATCTACTCACAAGTTCGAGTTGATTTTGCAATAATTTTGCAATGTAGCTCTAATGTTGGACACAATTCTATAAACTGTAGTAGCCAGTCCTAAAACCTAATCTCCTAACGCTATGCCTTTTCTTTCTGCCTTTCAAATGTATAATTTGTGTCAATTTTCTCTGGCCTGTACCCAGGAGAGGATACATACAGGCATATCTTGTACATATTTTAGAAGGAAAGTGTCAAAAATACTTTACGTTTCAATAACTTTCAGTCGGCCGAATATAATTACATTAATGTTTTGTAGCCCAAGATGTGAGTTGCCTTCAACTTTTCTTTGTGATATGGCGCCTTCCGATTAGGGAAAAAGAGCAAGACACAATTCTTATAAAGCAAAATAGAAAAAACAACAACAAATACAAAGTAATGAACTCTTAAAAAATTAACACAAAAAAAAGAAAGCAAAACCGGATTAAGGTCGTATTGCTTCTTCAGAATTAACACTATCTGGGAAAAAATAATGGCACACAATTTTCTAAAAACTTACTACCCCAAAAGGAAGCAAGTTTAGGCATAAATTTGATGGTGATGATGTGGCAGTGGCAAGGAAACAACAAAGTGGAGAAAGTCAATAAACTTTCTAATCGTATCGTCGTCATAAATGACGCCTCCCACCCTCCCACCTACCACCGCCACAACCAACGACAATTTCCAACCCAAAGTTGGCCTAATCACTTTGTTTACAACGTCAATTCGATGAGGGGGGAAGATGAAAAAGAAGGTTAGTGTTGTTTTTTTTTTTCTTTTTCGGAATACTTTGGATGACTTAAACACACACGCTCTGCCAGTTAGGGTATAAAAGTGATTTGTATTCATCTTGATTTGATGCTGGGTGCAAATGCAGAGGTTGCTGTTTAACCGATGTTTATGTTGCCCGTTTGAAAGCTAAACCACTAAAACCTCCAACCAAGTATGCCTGTCTCTTCTCTGGAAGCTAATGCTATAACGACGTAATACACAAAGAGAAAAAGTTTATATTTGTTAGATAAACAATAAATAATAAAGAGACTAAAGTTAAGAGATCGGTATCGAAACCAAACAAAGTCTATTTATGACGGCGCTGATATGTGGCGCGCCATGAAATATCATGATACAATTGAAATACATTAGCTCACGCTTTGGCCGCTTCATTTTGAAAAGATGTCATGAAACTTCACTACCCTTGTAGATTCAGGCTTATGATTTTATTTGTGTATTTCTCTTTCGGGACGAGTGTAATAATTTGCGGTGACGAAAATTAACGGGCCAACAGAATATCATTTACTTGAAGAGCGACAAAACCCTTATTTTGCGGGTTGTTGTTTTTGGTCACAGATATCCAGTGAGTTGATATAAACTCTGTGTCGTTAAAAATCAACTCGCCCTCTGTTTAGGGCGAGATATCGAAAAAATCTACTTTTTTGGATTATAACCCGCTTTGCCTTTTTTCGCGGTGTATAGAACGATTCACCATTCCGTAGATACGCAAAGAAGGCGGTTTCATTATTAATAGTTTTGGCTAGAATATTTGCTGTTTTGTGTTCTATTTGTTAAAACGAACGAACGGCGGCGAGTGGGTGGGGTGGGATGTTTGCGTTTTCCTTTTTTTGTTGCTATATACATTTTTTTCGTAACAATTTCCTTCCGCCCATGCTGCGACTCTTTCCGTTGTTTACAAATGTTATTACTGTAAAGGTCCTGTGGATGTTGTCGTCCATGGTGGCGCCTATTCGTGGCTACTTTATACGAGTATGTATGTATGTATTGGCTATACTTCCGTACGAAATGCTGCCCTCCAAAGAGTGATTAATATTTATTTTCGACCATAACTGATCATTTCAATTGGCCCAATGTGTTTTTGGGCTAACCTCTCTCCTGCATAGACGCGGACAGTGAAAAATAATCGGCATTTGGTATATTTGTGTATTCCATATCTCCAAATAGAAATAGTATTTTTCTTCTTTGAAAAATAACTCAATTAATTAATTGTATTTATTGCCAAATCATGAGTAGCTGCCGCTTTGTATGTAAGCGATTAGAATCGAGTCATTCTTTTACATTGGATTACATATATACATCGTTTAACTGGAAACATGACTGTTAAATCCAATTTGTCTCGAGTATTTATAAATTTGGCAAAATATGAATAAATGAATAACCCCCCCCCCCCTTCTCTTGCGTGGTTAGGCCAAAGGACAAAATATGAATAAATGAATAACCCCCCCCCCCCCTTCTCTTGCGTGGTTAGGCCAAAGATATGGGAAACTGTTTTCGCTAAGAAAACATGAGCAAGAAATTTTGTCCAACTCATTCCTATGAAAATCAATAACACAACAACTTGATGATAAATAATTCCATTTTTTTTTTTCTGAAAAAAAAAAAAATAATTTTATTGGAAAATATTTTTGGAACATAAACATTTTTAGAGGCGCCCCCAAGGCAGTTGAAATGTCTGGTTTTGTTTTCTCCTACTTTTTTTTGGTAAATCCTACTGGCTTACTTTTGCCGTAGGCCAAAGGTCACACGATGTACACAGACACACAATACTGGCTTGCTGGGAATTTATTGCATTTTTTATGGGCCATATAAACCGTTTATTCGATTTCCGAAATTTCCGTTTCGTTATTTTCTTTTTTTTTTGGCAAGATGTGTATTTTCAAGCACACCTCTAGTGTGACGGTAAATAATAAGAAAGTTCAGTGTCTACTTTAAGGCGTCCACATTTGAAGCCAACAGACAAAGCAGAGTTCCAGCCAAGGTTAACTAAAATAATTTGTCAATTGTTTGGCACCACATAACTGAAAATGAGCGATAGGAAAACACATAGACTTGGAAAAGGAGGGATGGATGAGGTATCCTCCGCAAGACCAAGAAAAAAGTAAAATGCGTTTATTTTCTTATATAGAGTGTATACGGTATTACGAAATGGAAATGCGTTGAGTGAAACAAATCAAAATAAACTTCAAAAGTTTTGAGCCTGAAAACTTAAGTTTATTTCTTTTATTTTTAGCGGCGAACGTATGTGGCGCATGTCCCATTCACTACCCTCTGGAATGGTAAGTTGCATCATGATTCCTGAATCGTTTCTTCGTTTCTTTTCTTTTTTGCAAAATTGTTTTATCCTTTCCCATTTATATTATTTATAAATATATATTAATATAACTATAAAGTATAAATAAATAAAAATAAATATCTTTTTATTGAAATTTCAAGTTCAAAGTTTTTTGAATGCATTTACAAATTTGTTTTTGGCATTTTTGATAATTTGAATTGAAAAATGTTTTGTTAAAATATGAAAATAATCCTAAAAAATAAAACAGCAAATTAAAAAAATCACAAAAAAACAAGAAGAATTATCGGAGGCACACATGCTTTTGCAAACTTAGACAACATCAAAATAATAACAATCCAAAAAACACAATATAAATTTTGTTTACATTTCCAATACAGACAATAACAACAAACGTTAATCCTTTAAAAAAATGAGTATAAAACGAGTACATTTAAACGACACACACACACGCTCAAAAATTTAGCGTAACAAGGAACAAACACATATACGTATCAATAAACTGTTATATGTCCAACACGAGCAATATATAATTAAGGACTCTTTGTTTTTAATCAACAACACAAAAATACAGCACATTTACAAAGTTCATATCCATGTAGAGTATTATCGGACATTAGGCATAAATGTAGATTTAGTATTTAGATTGCGAAGATGTTTTTAGATGTCGAATGGAAACCCCAATAAAATTACTTCACTTGGACTTAAATTGGCATCCATCCTGACCAGTCTGTGAAAATAGATTGATCATTTTACAATGAAAATATCATATTTTGTCCCTTGGGTCATTTATAGCTGGGTCGGTGATTCGCGGAATCGAGATTTAATTTTTAATTTCGCTAATACATTTATTTCCGACACATAGAAAGGTTGCTTTCATTCATAAATTGGCAATAGATGCACCGGGCATATCAAAATACCCCGATTTGAATTGAATATCTCAGCTGATAATGCTGAATGTAACGAATCTAGAAAAAAGCAATTCCAAATATTTGATTGATATACTACAAAACTTTTCGGCCAATAACTTTTTGGCTGTATTTATTTTAACGACATCTGGAAACGACGAAGGTATTATTAATATTTTTTCTTTATGTTGATTATTCGATATTTAGGTTACTTAAAAACAATTAAATACTTATTAACCTCAAATGTAGTAAAGTTTTGTGTTACTAACAAAATCTTCATGAAAACTCCATCTTCCAATAGCGACTAGATTTGCCAAAAAAAGGCACAGCGAAGAGGCAGAAGAATATTGAAAAACTTATTTCTATGAAGTAAAAATCTCCTCTTTCACGAGGTGACAGAGTCAGGGAAATCATTCGATTGTTCTTTAAACAATAGCTAGGTTCCAAAGTATTCTCCGTTTCTAAACGTGAGCCAGGTGGGCGAAAAATGTTTTTCATTCAATTCCAAACAATAAAAACAACGTATTATTGTAAGAACTACTCGTACCATTTATTGTCAGCTCGTCGCTAACAAAAATATTACTTCTGGGTGGAGCAAATGAGTAGTACATTAACATCAACCCTCTACATGGGAGCGATACATAGAAAGCTGCCATGACTTTTCACCTATGAATTGCGGCGAAACACACAATCTTGGATTATGCTGTTACATACCTCAGTTTTTCATTTCAATTATCCTTTGTCAAAAGTGAATGGAAATGTAGGGGTTTGTAATGCTTGTTTTAGAAAAGAACAAAAGGACCTTACAAACTACTATTTTAATTAGAGACCAACTTTATACATGCATTCTTCTGGTCGGCCATAAAAATATCAACGCTTTCTTCACCCCTCCAAGATAACAAACTCTAGCCGTGGACGCATACACCGCCGACACTTCAATCCCCAGTTATCCTTTTTTCTATTTTAGTTTCTCTCACACCCCATTCGGATCATTCCACCAAGAACTTTGGCAGTTATTTGTCAGTTTTTTTGCAGTTGTTGTCGGTAGTTACCTTTTTAGAGATTATAAAAGTTTTTTATGCACGAGCAACAGCCGGAATTAAATGAAGCATTCTTCTTATCCTGTCAAGACATTAGATGTCACAATCATGCCACCCAACGTAGTTTGAACTTCGCCATCTACTTTTACCGGAGTTCAAGCGGCAATGGAAAAAAACTTTAAGTTAACTTAAGTGTGTGTTTATTACACAAGCGAAGCAGAGACGTATCGAGAAATGCAGTTCGAAACCGTTTAGGGGGCAATTAGCAAAAAAAAAAACCTTTCGGGAGGGGACTCGGCTCTGGAACAAAAAACACTACATTTATATAAACCAAAATCATTTAGAAATATAAATCGGGTGGATTTTGAGTAATCCAGAAAGACCTTTGGCACATATTAGTATGAACTGTATCTAAGAACAAGTCCTGCATTGTATCTAAGAACAAGTCCAGACTTAGGCGGAGGTCCCAAAAAATAGCATATTATGTCCCATGTTTTGCTTAACCCCATCCATGCCATCCTAGATAGAAAATGACCTGTAGAAACACTTTAGAACAGTCCCATATGATAGCGGGATTATTTATTTCCAAGTAAAGGCAAGTCATTTCGTATTTCACTTGGGAGAGTAACAACTCTCCTTCTAAATGTAGAAAATGTAATATCGGGTCCACAGTCGATAAGAATCTTTTTGGAATTACAATATTATCCTCGATTTGAATATATATAAGTATGTCTGTGGACAGATTGTATTTCATAGTTTTTTAATAGAATTTAATTACATATATTTAATTTATCTACTGATCAATAGTGCTAGACAAATACATTACACTACACCAAATAACACACACACACATATGTACAGACATACTAACAACAAAATTCTGTATGTAGTACACATAATATATATATATCATCAAACAAACATATCCATTGCTGTCGTCTACACACAGTGAGCGTCAGAACACAACATGTATTCCGCCGTCTCTGTTCGATGGGAACTTTTAATTCGTATTAACTGTAAATTCATCTATTATTATCTGGACGTCAAAATCTACATGACATATACGAAGTACACAAACTGACGACGCTCACTGTGTGCGATGTGACGTTGTTTCGCAACAAACGGATGTAGAATGTAGTTCCTTTTTTCGGTTTTGTTCGCCTTTTTTTCATTCATTTACTCCATTTGATTAGATGTGAATGTGGTGTTTTTATTGGTATTCTTGTTGTTGGTGTTTATATGTGTGTGAGTTAAATAAGAAAGCATTATTTTTGGTTGTAGATATACATAGTTAATGCACCATTAATTTCACATTTTTATTTTAAATAAAATCTAATTTTGTAATTAAAAACATAAAATTTCTAAAATATTTTTAAATTTCATTCGCATAAGGAAAAACTATTTATTCAATGTTGTTATTTAACGGTTATTAATTTTGTGACTTCTATATTTAATCCCTAATTGACGAAAAGGTTCAATAATGGGTTTCCTTTGGTCAAGCCTTTTGGTTTTTCGTCTCTAGTTGTGTGTTGTTGTTGATGTTTGCAAAAAACACAGAAAAATTGAGCGACAAAGCTCCATTTTCGTGTCAGCGTTTTCTATGTTTTTTTTTCTTTTTTATATAGAAATGTAGATGTTTTGTAGAAACAAGTAAATGCTCATTGAATTCCACTCCATCCATCTACAAATTAATAAAAATACGAAACATTTGCATTGATACTCCAATGGTTACAAGAGTCATACCAACCCAACAAATATATGTATAAAGGAATTCTATCAGTCACCAATGTGTTGTGTTCTTTGCAAAAATTTTGGTTTTTTATACTCTTCGGAATCCTTTCCCGTTCCAGACAGTGTCTCTGGCTCTGTCTCTGTTTATGTGTGTGTGTGTGCGTGTGTGTGCATTTTTGTTCTCTTGCGAATGCAAATTCCTTGTAATGTTTTTGCCTACATCATACATAAGAATCAATTTAAAACAACAATCAGAATTATGTTCGAGGACCGGAAGCACCAGCAAATGCCCCGTCCAAATCCCAATCGAGTACAACAAAAGCGCCAACGACAAATAAAAATGTTTCAAAATTCTTTGACTTGATATTTCAGTCACGTTATGCGTTTTCACCACAGGACACAGATTTCACATCATCGTATCCCGGTCCATCGGCAATGAATCCACGCGGCCGCGGAGGTTATAATGATTTTTCAGGTGGCGGCAGTGCAATGGGCTCCATGTGTAACATGGCACCGGCGCAAAGTACAAACTCGCTGAACAGCGGCGGCGACGGTGGCGGCGGAGATACTCAGGCCGTCAATGGCACCAATCTAATTGTCAACTATTTGCCTCAGGACATGACAGATCGTGAATTATATGCCCTGTTTAGAACGTGTGGTCCCATAAACACTTGTCGAATCATGAAAGACTATAAGGTAAGATGCACTCTAGTTGCTGCAAATAGCACAGAGATACTACCTCGCACAGGGAGTTGTCATTTCCCTAATCGCACCTCAACAAATGTTCCTCTTTCTTCATATAAACAAAGAATGATGTGGTGTCAAGTGTCAACAACAACATTTGACAGGCATTATTCTCTACCCCTTGAAGGATGCGCCGATGGCGTGTACTGCCTGCCTGGCTGCACACCTCATCGAATATTTAAAAGTTAAATTTATGATGAATCTTGGATACACTGTTCGTTGTCAGTGTTAAAAAAAATTAAATATAACTGCGCGGAGAGAGAGGACATCATGTGTTTTTAACAACTTTTAAGACTATTTACAAATAATAGGATGGTGTAGCAGAGCAAATTTGACACACACAGAAAGGTCATTAACACTTCGCCTCCATAGCCTGGTTTCGGATCCAGATTACAAGGAGTGAGTGTCAAACCGAAGAAATAATAATGTTTTTATCAAAAATATACAACTGCATTGGAATGGCCAGTCATTGTCTGAAATTTGCAATGTTACACCGTCAGACTTTTATTTATTTTTTTTAACATAATTCAATGATTTGCATTTAACTCTTTCTATTTTTCTTTTGTTTACCCTAATTACGCTCACAGACTGGCTACAGTTTTGGATATGCTTTTGTTGATTTTGCCTCCGAAATTGATGCCCAAAATGCCATTAAAACCGTAAATGGCATTACAGTAAGGAATAAACGTTTAAAGGTAAGCATATTTTGTGTTTGTTTGTTATTCATTGTTGTTATTCCTTAGGAGGAGGCCTCCCTTTGCTCATTGCTGGCAGATTGGTTGGCCGGTTCGTTCGTTCGTTCTTCTTTGCACAAACGGTTATTCTCGACATTGATTTAAATTTGCACTTGAAAGTGAAGATGTAAATCAATTTCCGTCGTTTCCATTGTTTGCTTTGTTGGTGTTTGGTGGTGATAGTCATGATGGCGGTGTCGGTCTGTCTGCCTTGTACGAAGTAACATGAAGGATTTCTTTACCACTTGTGCAACATTGTATCGCGTTTGGTTGTCGTGTGTGTGTGTGTGTGTACCATGAAGAGGGTTGTTTCTATACACAGCTTTCCTTCACGACACCGCGAGCAATTGCAGATACCTTATCATCGCTGTTGTAAGGTTTTTTTCATTCCTGCGCTTATATAAGAAATACCGGGAAATGCTTTCATATTGAGCATCCTCTTTAGTTTTCCTTGAATATCGATGTTGCTTTCATAACCGGCTATGAGATGCAATTGTGTAATTCCCCACCTGTACTTACCTTACCTTACATTACCCAGAGAGAAATGTTGACTGGCAAGCTGACAGACACCGCGCGAAGATAATATTTGCCAAGTAACAGCATTGCATGAAGGTTGGCTTCTGACAACATTTTTTCTTCGTGAAGTTGATTGTTCTCGCATCTTTTGTTTGCAAAGTTATTAAAACCGAAGATTGATGTAACGTCGTTTCATGCAATTAGTTCTGGCTAGGATAGGAAGAGGGAGGCTACAAGGTAACAACATTTTAAGTCGTCTAGAAATGAAATGAATAGGTTTTTCTTGTTATGGCTTTTCAAAATGTAGACCAACACATTTGTTACATACTATGGTGACGTTTTTTCTTATCACTATTCATTCTGTGATAACTCTTATTTTCTGGTAATACGGTTAACTCTTAAAAAAGTCATTAAACAAATTAAAAAAAATAATAGTTTAGTTTTCATTCAGTATCATATGCGTTCGAACCTTTAACTTTTTCGAATTGGAGTTCCGTATCAACCCTCCCTGTTGATTATTAATTCACTCTATTCAGTCAATCATGCAGGATGGCAATGACGACGAGTATGATTATTTAGCACAATCATCAGTCGTAGGGAACAGGATTAATGTTCATGAAACGTATATGTTCCATCACATGGTGCGGCAGTCAAGTAGATGGAATGGTGTTCATTGTGTGCCACTTCCTCCATCCATCCATCCATCATCAATCATTTAATAACTCATGTTTTCAATTACATAAAAAACGCTGCTCTCTCCAGGGTGTCGAGTTGGTCATATCGCACACGCCACCTTTCTGTTTATGTTTGTTTTCTTTGCGTTGACATTCGCTAAATAATTCTTTTTGTTCTCCTTGGTAGCTGCTGATTTGCATACCACCAACAAAAACTAATTAATCTTGTTTTTGGTTTGTGTCGTTAATGTGCGATGTTTAACGCACACACGTCGTTCCACCCGCACTCCCCTTTCTGCCACACGATTCGAGTGTGTGGGTACGTGTGTGTATTTGTCCAAAAAGCATTGTTCGACCAGCAACAGACGTCACAATGTATATTCCATGGCAATGTTTGTTCTGCCATACCACGCTTGTCTCTACGGCATTCAGTACGGACTCGTTTCCACTTGCAACCACTTCTGCTTTCATTCCATGGCAAATTCTCTAGCTTGACAAATTCTCTGTTTGGGCCACCTGTACGAGGAAGTTGTTCCGTTTTTAATCTGGAACTAATTACTTCGATTGTCACGCTTAATGGCAGCCAATCGAGTGTACGTTTTACGTGGATCATCGCAGTCATGCACGTGAAGAGTACATTTAGCATTGCCGACGTGATGAGAATGTCTACGATGTTGCCCGTGTTGCCGTAGAGGCTGGCTGTTTGTGTTTTTGCTGCATTCTACAATCAAACTATCTTTACAGAGAAAAGGGACGATTGCTTGCTTTGCTAAGCACCGATGCCTGGCGCTGAAGCAGAACGGTGTTGAGTTTACCTATAATAAGGTGTCACATAATTGACAGACACCCAGACAGACTACCAATATTGTTCTAGACAAGAAGTTTTCTTTTTTAAATGCTATTCGTTCCTTATACTACCTACCAATTGCAGGTTTCATATGCCCGACCCGGCGGAGAATCAATTAAGGATACCAATTTATACGTCACCAATTTGCCACGTACAATCACCGACGACGAACTGGAGAAGATCTTTGGCAAATATGGCAACATTGTACAAAAGAATATTCTCAGAGATAAACTCACTGGTAGACCGAGAGGTGTAGCATTTGTAAGGTAGGTTTTCTTTAGCCAGCAGCGGGGATCTTAAAAGGGACATTAACATAATTGGAGCTGAATTTGCTGCTATCATACACCACTGGTTGCAAATAATTATTGTTTCCTTTTTTTCTACAGATTCAATAAACGCGAAGAAGCCCAAGAGGCCATATCGGCCTTGAATAATGTCATACCAGAAGGTGCCTCACAGCCCCTGACTGTGCGTCTGGCCGAGGAGCATGGCAAAATGAAGGCCCACCACTTTATGAATCAATTGGGAATGGGTCCACCGGCTGCCCCCATTCCCGCTGCTGGCCCTGGCTACAACAATATGGTGCACAGAGGTAGACAAAATAAAATGCGCAATCACAAAGTACATCCCTATCATAATCCCCAGAAATTCATATAAATTTGAAGGCAAACTAAGAGCGTTTCTTTTTTTCTCAATATAATAACACACATACATACATATATAATCAAATTAGAAGAAAACGTGGCATGTATCACACATAAACATAAGTATACATACGTACATACATTTTAAAGGAATCGTGACAAAGAAAAGCTCGTCTCTAACAAAATACGGGACACATACATATTCCCTGAGTTGAACAAAATATACACATATATAAACATAAATATATAAATAGTTGTAGTAGTTCTCTCCTCCTTTTCAAAAACAAAAAATATATATATATTACAAAGACCAATGAAATGACTCTGTGGAGAACCATTATGCTTATCCTTGCGAACATCATTTTAAATTAATTAAAGAGAGTTGTGGCAACATTTCCGCCGAATGCTAAAAGAAATTATATTTTTCCATCTTGTGTCATGAATATGATCCAAAAATGATCGCTTTTAACTTATCTTAAGGGGATATATCCAGTTGCAGAGCACAAATAAGGTTTTTTTTTTTTAAATTACAAATTGTTTTTAAAGAAAACATCTTTAAGAATTGTTTAACTTGGTCTTGAGCTAAACGTTTTTCCACGTAATGATGTCGTTACTTATTCTGTATTACCAGAAAGGGGAACATGTAGACAGGTTTTTAATAAATATAAGTATAAAATAGACGAGAGACTTAAAAAATAGTCTTCAAGAACAATGAGCAAACAAAACAACTGGTGTATTAAATAAGCCAGCAAAAGCTTAAGAGGCCATTTCGAATCATGCCATTTCGAAGATGAACAAACAGATTCTCTTTCAGCGCTCATAACGAAATAATGTTCCCTTGTTCGAATTGCCCTACAAAATTTAATTTTTTTAAATTGCAAATGAATATTAACACAAGAAATTTGGGAAAAGTCTCTCTTTTCGGAATATTGTCTGCAATGGTAACAAGCTAATTGTAAATGGGAGTTTCGTTATAGCTCTTTTCAATAGTTAATAGTAATTCATTGTAGAAAATTTTATGATTTTCCTTTGAGATCACCAACTTTTGTTCTCAAAATATTGAAATTGTTTCGCACGACGAAGAACTAGAAACTTAATTGAAAACAGTTTACCAGGAGTTTGCTCAAGTAAAATTGTCTAACACAAATCAAGACATCACCAAAATTAGGAAGTCAAAATAAGAATTCGGAAGGAAAATAGTAAAAAGTCTCCCATACTGAAATGAAAAAGGTGTTCCTTCTTTAAACAGGGAAATTCCTTGTGATATCACCATTAAAGTAATCAAATCGAAAGGATATCATGATGACTGGCAATACACGAGTATTCAACTCTCAAATTAGCGTTTTCTTAGATATGGAAAAAATCTTTTTAACTTACTTCTAAATAAATACAATCACCACAACTACAATACAACAACAAAAATTGAAAGTCTATATTAATACAATGTTAACTTTAGATTCCCAATATACATATATATTCATATTTGAAATTATTAAATTCTATTAATATGAAATGCAGAAAATGGAAGAAAAAAATACAAAAAACTATCTTTGTAGAAGATTAGAAATAAAAACTTAGTATCTCAACAACAAAAGAAACCTTTTTTTTTTTCGTCTGCGTGTGTGTGTGTTTTTCTTTCTCGTAATAAATCACTGAGTTGAATGAAAACTTAAATCATCTATGGTATATATGCAAAGAAAAAGATGAGTCGAGTCATCTTTATCAACGGGAAGAATATTTTTTTTTTGTTTTTGTTGTTTTTTTTACTTCTAGCAAACTATTCCAAAATGAAAATGGTGGGCGTGGTAAGTATGCGCCAACCGATATTTGCAACTTCCAAGAGATGCTTCCTTGTATTTGCTCCCCCACCCAAAGATATCGGTATCTCGAGTTCTTAAACAAAGAATCATATTTTGAAAAACCAAATAATTTTTTTTTATTTTTTTTTTGAAATAAAAACAGCTCTTGAGGAAAAATTGATTGATATTATGTTTATAATTATTGTCTCCAAATGAGGTGAGAAACATTTTTGTTGTTTTTTTTTTTCATATACCTATTTTTTTTTTTGTTAGTGAAAACACACACAGTTTTTTTTATAAAATTTTAAATAATTTTTTTTTTACTATTTTAAATGAAAAAATATAAACTATAACTGTGTCTATTAAGCCCATTATGCCTAAGCTTTTTAATGATGTGCATGAAATACAGTGAAAACAATCGGCAAAATACATTTTTTAACAAATTAAAATAAAAGGTCACACCTGAGGCGAATTTGAGCCGTTACGTTTTTTTTTTTTTTTTGCTTTCAATAAGAACCATTAAACTTGAATAAAACAACCCAATACTTATTCTAAATTGTGGTTATGACTGAAGTTTTTCAGTACAAGTGTTGTTTTATTCAATTTTGATGGATTACTAGGTCTTGATTGGTCTTCTATTTGACCTGGTAAAGATGCCTTGCGAAACAAACTTTTTAAGTCATTAGAATATAAAATATTGGTACTTCATTGAATGAATATCGCGATAAACAAAGCCCGTCCAAAAATTCATTTAAAATGACCATTGCATCACACTTTTACAGAATTAAATTCCAAGAAATATTCTTATTATAACCATTTCCAACTGAATATAAGACAAATGTACGTAACTTCCAGGAGGAAAGTAATAGCATAGTCCTGCAAATACTGACTAAGAATAATTTCAAGTGATGATTGAAAACTATACAAAAATTAAGTCCCGATTTGGATTAGGCGAGATTATTTGCGACAATTGTTCTCGTTCTCTTTAGAACTCGGTCCTTGCATTTACAGAATGCAATTTGTTTCGTCAATTTTCGTTTCGTTTTTCATAACAGTCTTTGCTGTCATTTTTATAAATATATTTATACAAAAATAAAATCAGAATATTGCCGACCAATTTTCCCCTTTCTATCCATCGCATCCCTCTCTCCTACAAACAGAGACTTGCCGTAAGTAAACTTGCCTAATGTAAATTCGGATTAACTAACAACTATTCTTTGTTATTTTTAAATTTAAATGTACACCTCCATAATTCATAACTTACTAGCTAATCCTATTCCCTGTCGAATTCCATTTTCAATCAGAACAATAAAAGAAAGTCGTGCTCCCGTTTTGCACTTACCCGTTCAATTTAATTTACATATCTATGTAGTAGAAAATTTTTACAACTCGTCTTACTTCGGGTTTTTAGCATCAACATTTTAGTTCTAAGTGACTTAATTGAATTTACGATTTTCCGATTTAAACAAAAATGAAAAACATGGTCCATAAACAATCCATATTCCCAAAAAAATTTAGGAATTATTATTTTTTTTATATTTTCCTTTCAAAACTGTTATTCTTTTTTCCTCTTTTTTCCTATTAACATTTTTCTATAAAGCATCATAATTATGGAAATATTTTGAATTTCTTTTTCATGCTACTGGTGGTTGTCCACGTTCGTGCGTATCCTGCCTCTTACCCACAGCGTACAACTATTCTGGTCTTCTGGATGGTTTTTATCGCAACAAGTCGTATCATTATCCTTACTTATAATTCAGCCACACTCTAGTGTAAATATTTAATCTTTAATTAGCAACAACAACAAAGGCAAACTCAATAGTATTACGATATGAATTAATTAATTAATAATGAATGACTTGTAAAATGTTTAGGTTAAATTCATTCTTGTATAAGCTAACTAAATTATTGTTAATATACATAAATTCGTAATTGTTTTTTAGTACTGCATTCAATTATTACTTCCCATACTAAGACGATTCGTATAGAACAACACAGAAAAAGAACAAACCATTTTGTATATTGCTAACAAAACCAAAAGGAAAAAAAAGAAAAACAATTGATTTGTTTTTTCTACATGAAAGACTTATATTTTTATTTTTAACTTTTAAGATTAAGAAAACAAGAACTATGAACTTGAATATGTTTGTGATTTTTTTTTTCGTTTTTGTTCGTTTAGTTTTAATAAAACAAAGACTGGAAATTTAAGTTGAATTTTTCGTTTAATTTTACCCTTTTAACACCAGTAGGTATTTCTTCTAGTTTATTTTAAAGCATTCCACAAACATTTATCTCAAAATATTTGGTCGGTTCCAGAACTGCAAGAATCTAAAATCGATTTATCGGTTTATGATATTAACACTAGTAGATTCTTGCAGGTTCTGAAACAGACGAAGTATGTACGTCGGAAATAGAACCAATTGAATTGAAGGGTCTTTCTGTAAAAATAACTAGCCTAACATTGAAATTATTGTCAATGGTGCAGCTAGCTAAGAATGGATAACCTTGTAATTGTTTTTTTTTTTATAAATCTTTAATGATTAATAATTACATTTCTTCATCTTAGTCTATAAAAATTCTTGAAATTTACGCGATCCTTTGTGTTTTACAAAAAGCCCTTCAATTCGATCACTGCCAGACAGGTAAGTTTTGTGAAAAATTACACCTTAGATATAACTTGTTTCTTAGGTAGCATTTGATAAAATGACGGCTAAGACAATAACAATTTCGTTCTGTAAAAGTTTAGCACAGATACAGACGTTGCAACGAATTCGATTTCTCTTTCCCAAATATGTACTGTTTAGCAATACCGTCATTACATTGATTTGTGTCCTAAAATTACAAAGAAAAAACCAATGAAAAATGTACCTTAGCAACAAATTAGAATCTCGATTATATATATTTGTTTAACCACTGTTTTGATTTCTATACCTTGTATGTGTCTTTGAGTTAATAAAAAATAAATATTCTGACTGATTAATGAAAAGTATTTGCTAGTTTAGTTGAATAAATAATAAATACAAATTCACATGTAATACATAGAAATACTTAAGTGAATAATTAATTCATGTACACATTACATGTTAGACTAATTAAGAAATTATATACAAATCGTTTAGTTGGAAACTGGAAATCAACTGATCATTTACCTTCGGTGGCCTGTAATACATGCACACACAGCTGTCATTAACAGTTTGTAATGAAAGTTCTCTTTGAAGTGCAAGGATTTGGATTCGCGTCAATATTGGAACTCTTTATCCTATGTTTTGTAATTTTTATGTCGCTTACACGCAGAAGTTCTCAATTTCAAGCAATAACTTGACTTGGCTTCACTCGGCGATAGCAGTAGGGACACTTTATGCCGTTGCTTGGCATTCTTAGAGTGGCTCGTGGGAATTTTAATATTTCATTATCTCTAAAGCAAAGCTAAAGACATTTGGGAGGGAGGGCCCAGGCCCATGAAAAGATTGGAAACTATAATTTTCTGTGCCATACCTAGTCATATTACAATAATGCAAAAGCGAACGTGCATGGTAAAGAGACTGATTACGCAGTTAATTTAACATTTAAAACTGGCATGCATGAGACTATTTAATATTTGATCAAAGAAATCATTCCCATATTTGACATCTCTAAATTATCACAAATATTTTGGGACAACAATTCATTGCAATTTTGAATTTAACCAAATCTTGGTGTTCCTTTTACGTAATCCAAGGCGTATTTACAAGGTAACAGGTGAAGGCCAGCTGTTGCCTGATTTTGCATTATAATTATAAATATATTAAAAATAACTTCCTTTCTGATGGATTTCACACGGAAATTTTCGTTTCCGGTGTGATCTCATTAAATAAGCCTTGATCCATGTTTCTTAATATGTTAATGCATTGTATTAACATTAATTATATTAATTGGTTTTTGAATACAATTACGACTTTGCTTTGCTTACTCATAGGGCATGTCAGATTAGTATGTGCACCTTTACAACTTCAGAACTTCAGGCGGAACAGTCGACTTGAAGTAAACCTAACAATTCATTGTTTAATATACAAATTTAAAATAAAATTCTCAAATTTGTCAGCTTCTTTGAGAATAATTTTCTGCAGAGCAGGTTAACAACATCTTCTAAGGTGTTAATAATTTCAATTAACTGGAAATCCCTATGATTTTCATCCATGTGTATAAATAGTTTCTAAGGAACAGATTTTAATTAGTTTGTGACATGAATTAAACAAAACAAAAAAGTAAATAAATGAATGAATGATAAAACTGACTTCCATAGAACTTACCACATTAGCTTTAGCATTTAAATTTATATACAAAACCAAAATTAGTACTGTTACAAAACGATATTGTTGAGCAAATACTGAAATTCCACGTTAAAAAAAAGAGTTAAATTTTTTGTAAATTATTAAAAAAAAAAACAAAAATTTACCCTAAAAAGGTTCCAGAACAAGTCTAACGAAAACTTTGTATATTAAATATTTTTTCAAATGAAATGAAAATCCTTAACAAAAATATACATAATTATATATACGACGATAAAGTACTACATTTTTTACTTAAGACAAGTTAAAACAAATATTTATAAACAAAACAAAAAGTAAGAAGAAGTGAACAACGTCAACTGCCCATAAAGATTTTTTAACTAATAGAACAAAAAAAAACGAAAAAAAAAAATAAATAAAACAAAAAACTAATCTAATTTTAATATAAATATTTAACAAACTGTTAGCGGATCAAATTATTTAAATTTATTAATAATGAAAAAGATGGAAACCAACAAAAAATGAAATTAGTAAACACAAAAGTATACATACGGAACCGGCGTCTGTACCGGATGTGTAACAATACCAATTAATTCTTAATGATAATAATTTATGTAAACGAATTTTAAAACAAACAATGCATCTTTATAAACATAGTGATTATATAATAAATTAAAACAAAAAAAAACACACACGAATCTAAAATTGATCAGAGTCGAAATTACCGAACTAAAATTTCAAATCGTTTGCAACTAATGATGAATTACAAAATTTCTTTCCTTTCGTTCAAGGCGCAAATCCAACTTTGGGCAAACAAATATTATTTAACTAATGGGTTTGTTACTTTAAGTTTCCACAATTCAAATGCATTCATTAAAAAAAAAAAAAAAAAAACTTTTCTTTTTTCGAGCATTTTTTAACTGAAATCTTCAAACATTTATGGAAAAATGTTGAAACAATAAAAAAATACGTAATATGTTTCATTAGCAGCAAAATTTAAAGTAACTGATAGTTGAATACATTTCAAGAAAATCAAATCGATAGTTGACTATTATGAGAATAAGTAAATGATGATTGTGAGGCACAAAAAGGTAAATATTTTTATTTATAACTCTATTGCTAGTTGCAGTTTATAAAAATTATTTTGTTTTAGCTACTGTTTTACCCCACTCTCTTGTGGGGACAACAAAACATATGAGTTTTGGAATTTTTGTGGACTATATTTAACTGAAGTCATTTGTTATCTTTATGAAAGGTGATTTTGAAAACTAGTAGTAGTACTAGTCAATGGCTACACTTCCTAATAAAAAATAGACAGACGTCTGATTAATTTTCCTGCAGGAATTGTCCAGCAGTTTTTTTTTCTGAGAGAGTGAGGTGTGAGTGAGTGAGTAAAATCGCTTGCCCAATTAAAAATCACCGAAACGCAAAAGGAAACATTTAACAGAGAATTAATATTCGATTTTTCTTTGAATTCTATGACTCATTTCAAATATTATTAAATATGAAATTTGTCTGAAACTAGTAATGAAGCTAATAATTAACAATAAAGAAATAAATAATGCTAAGCTAAGAGAAATTGACTGGTGAGAGGGCTATTTTCTTGAGCAGCACTGCAAAAAGAAATGTCAATATTTGTCTCTTAATTCCTCCAGTTCTCTTCTTCTTTGTTTCCATAAGATGATCTACTCTTAAAATATTACGAGGTTTCTATGAAAATTTTTCTAGACCGACTTCTTAAACTAAATTGAAGTATTTATATTCTCCGTTATTACATTCATATGTGATATCTGTCCACAAAAACACATAACTCTTGGTTTTTATTAATTATTTTTTAAGCTTCCAAATGTTTAAGCGTATTATCCTTTTTTTTTTTTTTTTTGTTCTACAATCCATTCAAATTAACAACAAAAGAAAAACAAATTGTTATGATAAAAATCAACCTCCCAATTTATGACTTGTTATATAATGTATCTTTATAAATGTTATATATACAAAGCAAAAACAGAAACAAATCGATAAAAAAAAGAATCAACAACTATATATTCCAATTATATACTCTATATACTGATATAAGCATTAAAACCAAATGACAAAATCCAAAAAAAAGAAAACAACAAATATTTACAATTATATTTAACGAAAAAGACAAAAACGATTTTTTATGTCAAACAAATCCCTATTTAAATTTAGACAAATATTAAATTAAAAAATAAAATACAAAAGAAAAACATGAAAGAACAAAATATAAATTTTTTCCAATTTCATAACCTAACAACAACAACAAAAACAACAGACAAAAAAATGTGAATATGATTTTGTGTATTTACCTCCTTTCCCAGCAATATTTAAACAAAGTAATAATAATTATAAAAAACAACAACAACAAAATTAATAACAACAAATAACAAAATAAAACAACAAACCGATGTGTGAGAAAACAAAATAAAGATTATTATTTGGAAACTATTTAAGTGAAAAGCCATTTTTAATTCAATGCAAATGCAATCTACAGCGTAACCTCAGGGGCTTTGCCCGCCTGCAGTGATGAAACGATGGAAAGTTGTTTCCTGATTTTAGTTTTTCTTTTTTGTGAAATGATGGCCAGGGGCCATCGTTTGAGTTGGATTTGTTTTACAGCTAAATATCTTGAGCTACTTTGGAAATCTAATAATAATATCCCTGCGGATAAATATAGCTTGCACTTGTAAAAGGAAACATGAATGACTCTACAACCATGGTCGAAGAATACAGGTAGTCGCTTCGACACAGCTGCTGGGTCAATGAATTGTCACACCAATTTTTGAATTGAAAATTTTGAATGAAAAATTATACAAATTTGCAAAAAATGCATATCTTAATAACCTCTGATAGGCGTCGTATAAGAAAACATATAAATATAGTCTTATTTTTGAAAAATCATTGAAAAAATGTTGACATATCAATGTTCGCCAGCTTTGATGCATTTACCTATATTCTTCTACCATGTCTACAACGTGATAATTGTATGATGCATATGTTACACATTATTTTGTGATGTGTTTTCTTCTGTCTACGTCGATATACTTCCCTAAGTGGCAAAATGTAAAAGTTAATAAACCTGTATTTTTCATTTATTTTTATTTCCTTGCTTTTAAAAGCGTATTTTTCTTTTATTGTCATACCTGTCCCTCAATACTTCCTACTGATCCCAACGAACAATATTCATGCTCCACCTAAACGTGGAATTCGCTCAGCAATGTTTGCGTATTATTGCGCATTATTTATGTATATATGTTTCAACGCAAAATATATGTCAGCCCAATATGTTTAGCTATTTTTATTCATAAATTTCCGCATTGTTTCGTTTTCTTTAGAACTGTAGAAAAGTGATGTCCGCTCATTGACACATTTCATTTCGATTGTTATATCGCCCAGAACCAAGCACAGCATCAGAACTATGAAAATCACAAAGGTTTTTTTTGGGATGCACATCGATTCCCAATAAAATCTCCCCCGTTTTTTTTATTGGCACAACATATTAATAATACACTCTGGGTTTTATTTTGAACATCAGGGGATCTTTGGTTCTCAAAATCAATTCGGCTATCAGATGTATTTCCTCTTCACCGGGTCCCACATATTCTACGGAATAGTGACGTAGGACATTGGACAAAATGGTTTTAATTTCCAAGACGGCAAACTTTTGTCCAATGCAATTGCGTGGTCCGGCCGAAAAGGGTATATAGGCGTAAGGGTTTAGCCGTTCTGTGCTATAGCCTGCCTCGAAGCGTTCCGGTTTAAAGGTGTCCGGATCGGGGAACAACTCCTCCAGTCGACCCAGTTGCAGGGGGGAAATTCCAATATTGGTACCAGCGGGAATAATTTTACCATCTGGAAGACATAAACAATGGATATTTTATGTTGCCAAAATGAAAATAGTTTTTGAATTCAAACATACTTATCTCGCATTCCTCTGTTACTTTCCTGCCCAGCAGTGGCACCGAGGGGAACATACGCAGCGTCTCCTTGATGCACAAATCCAAATAGTGCAAATTATTTAGGTCTTCAAAGGTTACGGGTTTCGACTTGTCCTTACCCAACACCTGTACTATTTCTTCGAAGCATTTCTGCTGACATTCCGGATAATTGGCCAAGTTGTAGAAGCAGAACGTTACGGCCGAAGATGTCGTATCGTGTCCCTCGAACATGAACGTATCGACTTCTTCGCGGATGTCCATGTTTGTTAAGGGCTTGCCGTCCACTTGCGATTGCAACAAAATGTCAAGGAAAGCCATTTTCCTCTTCGAACCGGTATCTTCGTCGGCGGCATCAAGTTTTCCCGCTTCTTGGGCTTTCAACAGTTCTTCACGCCTCTGGACAATCACTTTCTCGGTGAAGCCGTGTAAAACGGCCAATGCCTTTTTTTCCTCACGGGCCAGTCTGGTGAAGCGATAGGTCAACTCGAAACGACACAATATGTCAAACATACGTTTGTGCAACACCATGGCAATGCTAAGGGATAGGCGAGGAAGTTATTCAAGATGGGACAAATGCCAGATGCTTGGTAAGTGGCGTTACTTACGTTTTTACGGCTCTCACATATTCGGAATCGGCATTGGTTTGGGCATTAACCGACACGCCCATTGCCGTTTCTGAAGAGAAACAAAAAAAAAACAGAAACAAGTGAGACTTAAAGGCGGTAAGTGAAAAACATTTGGACCGGTAACTCAGCTCCACACACACGAATGTGGAGGTTCAAAATAATAAATTAATTTATTCATTCAATTCACAAAAGTTAAGTTGTGGATGTATAAGCAGCTTGGCATCACAACTAGTCATCTTAATGTCAAGTTATAGGAAAAAACGACAGGATTCTGGCATCCCTTTATGATATGTCACAAAATATGTCATGCGGAGAATTCAAGCTGCTAAAGTATTCACACCTTCAGGCAACATTAGTTTCACTTAAATTCTTAATAAATATTCTAAATAAAAAATGGATATTTTTTGACAGTTTCATGTTTCGCATGAAATCACTCGTATATGGATCGGGACCCTCAGTATAGTCTCTACTGCAAAAATGACCGAACAGACCCCAACAGATGTTCCCGATCGCAAACATTTTTTTGTTTACAGTAGCACTAGTGTTATCTTATCACAGCCAATCAAGTGTCCGAATTGGCGAAATACGTGCCAATGCTTGATAGTAAACCCCCGACCCCCCACCGTGAACTTTGTCACAGATCGATATTTGAGATAGCAAATATCGATTGATACGATAGTTCACTTTCGCGTTTCGAACAAAACATTGTATTGCATTTCAATGAAAAAAACAAAAAACACTTTTGACACCCCGACATTCGCCTTTGTTCTGCAACTATGTCAAAATATCCCCCGTCTCCTTACCACATATTGTGTCCAGGGTACACAAATTCACCCAATTATACAAATCGAATCCCTCGTCCGAATGCATGCGATACTCCTTGTCCAAATTCTCAACCAGCACACGGGATTCGCGCTCAAAGATCCCAATGAAATTTTCCAGAATTTTAAAATGGAAAGCCGGTGTAAGGACCTTTCTGCGCGAATGCCACTTCCTGCCGCTACTGAGAAGCAACCCTTCGTTTAGCCATGGCTCCAACGCTGCATATTCGTGGGCCTTGTCATTGAATCGCGTGGAACCTAGGACCTCTTCGACATCCCTGACATCGCCCAGGAGTATGTGAAACGATGGTCCAATCCACAGCTTATACGTGGGTCCGTACTCCAAACAGAACTTTTTAAACACCTGCACAAATTCGTGCGACTGCTTGCCGAGGAAATGGTGTCCATGACCAATCAAAGGTAGGGTAGGTGGACTTGAAATGTTGCTGGTCACATCCAGAATATGTTTGTACTTTGCGAAATACACGATAAGGCCGATCGAGGCTAAAAGCGCCAAGCAGACGCCGCAAAAAGCGGCAACGTAAATTAATCCTGCGATCATATTTCAACGCCACCAGCAGCTGGATTTGCACTGCCTTAGAAAATTTGGACAGTTTGTTGTGGCCCCTGCTGGACAGGGGCGATTAGATTTCTTATCAAAGGAGAAACGACAAAACCATAAAATATTCGACTTGCATTGCCTCTGAAGTGGGCGTTATCTATATCTCTTGTCTGATTTCGAGCAAAGACCAAATTTGCACGGACTTTACTTATTTTAATCTAACATCTCAAAGGAATGGACATGATTTGACGAAACCTAACAGTCGAAGGGAAATGACTCACTTCCTTGGAATTGTCAAGAAAAGGGAGGACGGTGCCAAGCCATTATACTTCTTTCTTACCACAGATCGTGTCCAGGGTGCACAAATTAACCCAATCATTCAAATCAAATCCCTTATCCGTCTGCATGCGATACTCCTTGTCCAGGTTGGCGACCAGTGTTCGGGACTCCTTTTCAAAAACATCAATAAAGCTCTCCAGAATTTTGAAATGGAACGCCGGCGTAAGAACCTTTCTGCGCGAATTCCATTTCCGACCACGACTGGTGAGCAGTCCCTCTTTCAGCCACGGCTCCAGCATATCGTACTCATGAGCCTTGTCATTGAAGCGAGTCGTGCCCAAAATAACTTCGACATCCTTCAGATCGGATGTCCATATGTTCAGCTCTGTACCAAGCCAGACCTTGAAGGTGGGTCCATACTTTGAGGCAAACTCGTAAATCGTGTACATATTTTCATGTGGGGGCTTCCCAGCAAAGTGGTGGCCATGGCCCACGATCGGCAAAGAAGGCGGGCTGGGCAGATTGTTGGTAATGTCGATCATGTGTTTGAATTTCACCAAATACAACACCAGGCCGATGGTGCTGAGGATTGTAAACAATCCGCCAGCACAGAGGAGGACGTTTATCAAGGCGGCGGCTGCCATCTGCTATCACTGTCGAAAGTTAAAACAGAACTGACTTCTTCGCAGTTGCAGGTAATTACGCTTAGGCATTTTAACTCGTCCTAATGATTAGATGCCCAATGTAATAGTATTGGTGAGAGCGACGAAATAACACTGGAAGAAAATATTTTTCTATTCATTTTATTTAGTCGTCAACGAGATAGCGATAGCGAGATAGATTAGGACCTAATCTAATCTCCAATCCAATAAACACTTTAAATTATTATCGAAATTTTCCGATTTTTTTTTTCGAAAATTCCAAATTCATGTTGTTCGGACGTGTCTATTCTTGGGTCTGAGTCGGAGTGTATGTTTGTTGGAAAACAAACAAAGTGAAAGGTCAAGAGGAGTGTGTGCAAAAATGGCACGTCATTGAAAAACAAAATCGACGAGCGTGTCACAGGCGAGCTAATGTCCAGGGTTTACATTTGAAGAGGGCTGGTTATTTATTTATTTTTTTTTTTTTTTTGTGGAAACTTCAGTTTTCGAATGTCAATTCAATTTGACATATTTTATGGTTACATTGAAATAATCCAAAATCTCTTTTTTTGAAATCCTTTCAAGGACATTTGGAGTCATCCTAGCCATGTTCATATTCGAAATTCACCTCAGTTTCACCCGAAACGGGTACTATGTCCAGCTGGATCCATATTCAAGTATGACTTTCTAGGAATACCGCCATGTATAAATTATGTCCGTCGGAGTCGGAAAGTACCATTTAGACCCTGTAAAGTATGTAGAATTACTTTGGATCCGACATTTTACAACCGATGTTGGCTATAGAAAACTATTCAAAACTGTTCTCTTCACTCGCTCTCATTTACTGAATTTTGGGTTATAGAACAACAGTTTGTACAGATGAGGTATGTCTGTTTACTTTCCCCGTGAGATTTAACCTACTGAACCTTTTTGCAGCTGTCATACATTTTTCTCAATTCAATCTCTTTTACTGGACCTGTTTTTTTTTTTTTTTGCTTCACTTTAAATATTTACCACAGATGACATCCAGGGTACACAGGCTTATGTTTTCATAGAAATCGAATCCTTCGTCATTGGCTTTGTCCAGGGAATGGTGACGTATCTTTTCTACCAGCAGACGAGACTTTGTATCGAAAACCGTTACATATTCCGTTAAGATGTTGAAATGAAAGGCCGACGTGAGAACCGGTGGAAATCAATAACCCCTCGCGAAGCCAGGGCTTGATATTGTGCCGCCTTCTGCAGGTGTTTCATGGAACCCAATATGGCCTCTATATCGTCGATGTGTGAAAAAACCATATTCAACTGGGTTCCCAACCAAACTTTGATGGTGCGATGACCCTCGCCCATGGACACGATGCGCTGCATCATCAAATGGGCCGGTACTCCAATGAAATAGTGAGCGTGACCCACTATCGGCAGGGTGGGGGCGCTGTGTGGGTGACATCGATTTTATGTTTGAATTTTGAAAAATACACAACAACACCAATCGTTGTCAGAATCAGCGACAAGCTTGCTGTTATGTGGAATGTTACTGATGAGATGAGCGCCACAGTTGGCGATTATCTTTTGGCTATTTTCAATCCCAGATTCATTCCAATTCGAGATTTTCAAAAACAAAAAGGCAATAATTTATTGATTTCGTACACGAAGAAGATCCATTTCTGATAAGTGTACTCTCGTCCATCTCGTTTCAAGGTCATGGGTGTATTGTACATCAATCTAGGCATTTAAGCAGGGACTGGTAACAAAAAAAAATCCTTGATCAAAACAGTTTTCTCTTCGCCACATGCGAGATAGAACCAAATGAAAATAACGTTAAATTATATGGAATCAGATCTGGTCGGTATCGGTATAGAGCCCTTGCATTTCACCAAAGGAGGATGTTTGTAGTTTCACTAGTCTCAAGCATTGACGCTATTGACACTTCTTTCGCTGGAATTTGACCATCAACTAAACCAGCTGCCACAGAATTTCGTTAGCGCGATATAGCTCTAATACTTTAGCATTAAAATATACACTGGTGGCCAAAACTAAAGCAACTGAAATTACAAAGAGAATGACTGCCCTGTAACTAAACCAGCTGCCACAGAATTTCGTTAGCGCGATATAGCTCTAATACTTTAGCATTAAAATATACACTGGTGGCCAAAACTAAAGCAACTGAAATTACAAAGAGAATGACTGCCCTGTAACTTTTTCAAAAATTAAGAAAATGAGAAAGTTTTTCTTGTTTTAAATTAGGTACTGTATTCACTTTTTAAAAACCTAAAACATAAAACCAAAATTCATTTTTATATAAAAAATAATGTTTGGTAAAGTCAATTAACCGGATTTTGGCTTGGACAAAACAAAAGCAACTCTATTGTACACGCATATAACCGCTGCAATTTCAGTTGTTTTTACTGAGATATTTATCGCTTTTTGCTTCCTTCGACAATTTCGCTTGTCATAAATCCTTTTTGAGAAGTTTTTTACAACAGTATGGGTTTTTCTTTTCGTTGTTTAAGTACTGCCCAAAAAATTTAAAAAATTGTTAGAAGCAAATACAGTACCTGAATAAAACAGCAAATTATCAGTGACTATCAAAACAACAAATCACAGAAAATGATTTCCGAGAAATATTTCATAAATATTTATGTGATTCCATAATTATTTCTGTATACTAAGTCGGTTTTTTTGAAACTGGATCTGTAGTAACAGTCCATAACGGATGAAGGCCGTGAAAAACTTCAGCCCGTACTGATCCACAAATTGTGACAGAAATAAAAAACAACTATTTAAGAGTTCAACTGGATTGGTAAGAGAGCAATCATTGGATATAAGCTCGAGATCAGTGCGTAGACGAGTAGTGGCAGCTGGTCTGCATGCCCGTAAGACATCAAAAAACCATTTATATCTGAAAAAAATCAAAAAGGCTTTCGGAAACGATAATATTAAGTGGAATCAAGTTCAATGGAAAAAAACATTATTTCTGGGATGAGTCCACGTTTAATATTAAAGGCTCAGACGTGAAAAATTTTACGGTGAGAAGACCAAAAAATGAAGGACTCAAGCCGCAGTGTTGCAAAGGTACTGTGAAGCATGAGGGAGGGTCAAAAATGGCGTGGCGCTGTTTTTCTTTCTATGGACTTGGGCCTACCCATAAAATAAAGAAAGTTGTGGATCGGTTTGTTTACAAATATGTGTTGGACATCACGTTGTTCCCTTACACTGAGTAAAATATTCGGCTGATTTGGGTGTTTCAGCATGACAATGATCCCAAACTTGTATCAAAACTTGTCAAATATTGGTTGCGGAAGTCAAAAATTCATGTTTTGTTATGGCCGACACAATCACCTGACCTAAACTCCTTAGAAAACCTTTGGAGTGTCGTAGATAGGAAGATCAAGAGAGATTCGGAAATAAATAAGCACAACATTTTCTAAAGAATTCGGGGTGCCTGGGAAAGCACTCCCAAGGATCAAATTGAGCGTGTTATAGATTCAATGCCTTGTAGGTGTGCAGCTGCTATCAAAAATAATGGTTATGCTATCGACTACTAGCCAAAATTTAATTATTTTAAAATAAAAAATCAAAAGTTGCTTTAGTTTTGACCAAGCAAAAATTGGGTCATTTTAGTTTTCCACATATTGTTTTTCGTTCAAAATTATTTTTGTATTTTTATTTTTAGTTTCTTAAAAGTGAATTAAACCCCTCATTTAAAACTGGAAAAATAATTACGATTTGTTTATTTTTGTAAAAGTTACAGGACATTTATTGTCTTTGCGATTTAAGTTGCTTTAGTTTTGGCCACCAGTGAATGTTGCACTAAAGTTTCACTTAGGTAAAATAAATACTCTCCTGGTAAAATAAATCCTTGTCCCACCTGTGGCCAGCAGCCTAATACTGCATTCCAATAGCACGTTCCACATTCCACAGCTGCAATTCTGTTATTCATTCGAAAATTTCGACATAGCCTTTGTAAATGAATTGAAAAATAAAAGTCCGTTTCAAGGGTCCTTCACCCAAACCCTCATTCAGAAAATCAAATGGCCTGGATTTTCAAAAATCGATCACACAATAAATGGGCGATGGTTGGGCGCCAATAAAATTCTATGAAAGCAGTTCAACATCAAAAACATTGGCCCAATAAAAAAGTGCTGGTAGCGCCCAAGTGTAATTTGTGGCAATGACCGATTCAACCACAACCGCCCCCTTCTCAGCACTCGGATTACAGAATGCACTCGCTGAACCCAAACTGAAAATCATGAAGTATAGTATAATGTCTGGACCGTACACGTGGTTGGCAGTTGATAAGACCCAATGGGTAACACACTATGTGTGGGTGTGTGTATGCAAAATAAACACACACATGCAAATCAGTTGAATCTCTATTGGGAGAGAAAAATTATGAAATGTTTGTTAAACTTTTTGAAGAATCTGTAACAGAGCCTATGAACTTGATAGGGTTTTACGACTGTCTGTAACAACAGTCGGTCTGCTACAACAGCAACAACAACTAATGTAACAAATTGATAATTATAGTTGTCGATTATCTCTCTTTACAGGGACAACTACAAATTGGCATCATTTATCAGCATCAGCATCAGCGAGACATCAAAAAAAATAAGATGTGTGGCAATAATGAATGGGACCCGAAGAGTATTCGGAAAGAAATATGCTTGGATTTTGCTGCAGAGTGTTTTTTTCTTTCTATTTTGGGCATTTATTTCACATTCAGGAGAACATTTGTTAAGTGAAATGTCGACATTTGTTATTACACGAAAGCTAATTAATCAAACTAGGGTGTGATTATAAGAGGCCAAATATATCTACATGCAAACATACATGGGGAATAGGAGGGGACAAATCAAATTTGCTTAATATTTCCACTTGATCTCTTTATGCATCGTAACGACATCACTCATAATCGGAAATAGCATTTCAAGTTCATGACTAAGCAAGTGAATGCTTTTTGTTCTCTTCAGATCACATTGAAGTTTATTACACCCAACACATCAATGGAATGTTGAGGCTCTCGGTTGCCGTACAAAGCGAGCAGAATGTG